TTGGTTGGGGACAGTGTGGCACTGTTCCCCATCACTGTACCTCGGCTCTTGGGGTTTGTAGAAGCTGGGAGTCATTCCCAACTCGTAACTCTTCCTAGTGCTTCGTAATTGTGTGTTCTAAGACTATGTTGCTACCATAGTGCCGTTCGTTCAATCTGACGCTGTGTCGTCAATTCTTGATGAAATCGTGCGATCTAAATTGCCTATTGTAGGCCACGTTAAGACGCTCTAGATCCAAGTTGAATGAGGTCGTTTAAACTGTGACCAGATCGCTATGAACGTTTAAAGCCGCTGGACAGAAATCCGACTGTGCACTCTATCTTTCGTTTTAGGCACATTGAAGCCTATTGTGTGAATAACATATCAAATTGTGCGATCTAAATGGCCTATTATAGGCAAGGTTAAGACGCTCCAGATTAACATTGAATGTGATTTTTTGGAGCTGTGAACGGATCGCTCTAAACCCGAAGCCGCTGTGCAAATATCTGACAGTGCATTCTATCTTTCGTTCTAGGCACATTGAAGCCTATTGTGACTATAACACAAGCAAGTTGTTCCACCGGGTTGTTTGACCAAAAAAGCCAGTTGGTCCAACCAGGTTTTTGGACCTAAAAGCCAGTTGGTCCACTGGGTTGTTGGACCAACAAGCCAGTTGGTCCACTCGGGTTGTTGGACCAACAAGCCAGTTCGTCCAAGCGGGTTGGGTTGTTGGACCAAGAAGCCAGTTGGTCCAACCGGGTTGTTGGACCAACAAGCCAGTTGGTCCAACCGGGTTGTTGGACCATGAAGCCAGTTGGTCCAACCGGGTTGTTGGACCAACAAGCCAGTTGGTCCAACCGGGTTGTTGGACCAACAAGCCAGTTGGTCCAACCGGGTTGTTGAACCTACTAATCAGTTGGTCCTATAGCATTGTTGGACCAATAGGCCAATTGTTTCAATTGGGTTATTGGGCCTACTGACCAGTTGGTCCAATCTGGTTGTTGGACGTGCTGGTCCTACGCGGTTGTTAGACTAACAAGCAAGTTTGTCCAACCGGGTTGTTGGACCAACAAGCCAGTTGGTCCAACCTGATTGTTGGACCAACAAGCCAGGTGGTCCAACCGGGTTGTTGGACCAACAAGCCAGTTGGTCCAACCGGGTTGTTGGACCAACAAGCCAGTTGGTCCAACCGGGTTGTTGGACCAACAAGCCAGTTGGTCCAACCAGGTTGTTGGACCAACAAGCTAGCTGGTCCAACCGGATTGTTGGACCAACAAGCCAGCTGGTCCACCGGGGTTGTTGGACCAACAAGCCAGTTGCTAAAACGGGGTTGTTGGACCAACAAGGCAGTTGATCGAACCTGGTTGTTGGACCTACTAACCAGCTGGTCCTACTGGGTTGTTGGACCAACAAGCCAGTTGGTCCAACCGGGTTGTTGGACCAACAAGCCAGTTGGTCCAACCTGGTTGTTGGACCTACTGACCTACCAGAAAGTTGGACGAACAAGCCAGTTGGTTCAATAGGGTTGTTAGACCAACAAACCAAGTTGGTCCAACCTGTTTGTTGGACCTACTAACCAATTGGTCCTACCAGGTTGTTGGACCTACAAGCTAGTTGGTCCGATCGGGATGTTGGACCAGTAGGTCCACCGGGTTGTTTGACCAACGAGCCAGTTTGTCCAACCAGGTTTTTGGACCAACAAGCCAGTTGGTCCACCGGGTTGTAGGACCAACAAGCCAGTTGGTCCAACCGGGTTGTTGGACCAACAAGCCAGTTGGTCCAACCGGGTTGTTGGACCAACAAGCCAGTTGGTCCAACCGGGTTGTTGGCTTCTTGGTTTTTGGAAAAACAATCCAGTTGGTCCAACCGGGTTGTTGGACCAACAAGCCAGTTGGTCCAACCGGGTTGTTGAATCCACTAATCAGTTGGTCCTAAAAGATTGTTGGACCAAAAGGCCAATTGGTTCAATTAATTTGTTGGGCCTACTGACCAGTTGGTGCAATCTGGTTGTTGGACGTGCTGACAAGTTCGTCCAACCGGGTTGTTGGACCAACAAGCCAGTTGGTCAACCGGATTGTTGGACCAACAAGCCTGTTGGTCCAACCGGGTTGTTGGACCAAAAAGACAGTTGGTCCAACCGGGTTGTTGGACCAACAAGCCAGTTGGTCCAACCGGGTTGTTGGACCAACAAGCCAGTTGGTCCAACCGGGTTGTTGGACCAACAAGCCAGTTGGTCCAACCGGGTTGTTGGACCAACAAGCCAGTTGGTCCAACCTGGTTATTGGACCAAGAAGCCAGTTGGCCCAACCGGGTTGTTGGACCAACAAGCCAGTTGGTCCAACCGGGTTGTTGAACCTACTAATCAGTTGGACCTACAAGATTGTTGGACAAACAGGCCAATCGGTTCAATTGGGTTGTTGGGCCTTCCAACTGGTTGGTCCAATCTAGTTGTTGGACGTGCTGACCAGTTGGTCCTACTGGGTTGTTGGACTAACAAGAAAGTTGGTCCAACCAGGTTGTTGGTCCAACAAGGTAGTTGGTCCTACCTAGGTGTTGGACCTACTGACCTGTTGGTCCTACCAGTTTGTTGGACCAACGAGCCTGTTGGACAAATCGGGTTGTTGGACCAACAAGCCGATTGGTCCAACCGGGTTGTTGGACCTTCTAATCAGTTGGTCCTACAAGATTGTTGGACCAACAGGCCAATTAGTTCAATCGGGCTGTTGGTCCTACTTACCAGTTGGTCCAACCGAGCTATTAGATGTATTAACAAGTTGGTCCTACCGGGTTGTTGAACCAGCAAGCCAGTTGGTCCAACCGGGTTGTTGGACCAACAAGCTAGTTGTTCCAACCTGGTTGTTGGACCTACTGACCAGTTGGTCCTACCGGGTTGTTGGGCCAACAAGCCAAGTGGTCAAACCAGGTTGTTGGACCAACAAGCCAATTGGTCCAACCTGGTTGTTGGACCTACTCAACTGTTCGTCCTACTGGGTTGTTGGACCACCAAGCCATTTGGTCCAACCAGGTTGTTGGACCTACTGACCAGTTGGTCCAACTGGGTTGTTGGACCTACTAATCAGTTGGTCCTACAGGATTGGTGGACCAACAGGCCAATTGGTTCAATCGGGTTGTTGGGCCTACTGACCAGTTGGTCCAATCAGGTTTTTGGAACTACTGACCAGTTGGTCCTATCTAGTTGTTGACCAACAAGCCAGTTGGTCCAACCGGCTTGTTGGACCAATATGCCAGTTGGTCCAACCTGGTCGTTGGACCTACTCACCAAGCTGGTCTTACTGGGTTGTTGGACCAACAAGCCAGTTGGTCCAACCGGGTTGTTGGACCAACAAGCCAAATGGTCCAACCGGGTTGTTGGACGTTCTGACTTGTTGGTCCTACCAGTTTGTTGGACCAACGAGCCAGTTGGTCCAATTGGGTCGTTGGACTACTAACCAGTTGGCCATAACGTGTTGTTGGTCCAACAAGCCAGTTGGTCCAACTGGGTTGTTCAACCTACTAATCAGTTGGTCCTACAAGATTGTTGGACCAACAGGCCAATTGGTTCAGTCGGGTTGTTGGTCCAATTGGTCCAACCGGGTTGTTCAACCTACTTGTCACAGGATCATTGTTGTTTCTGTCACAATTTTTGCCATGATGCGCGCTTCCGTCTGAAGTCGTTAGCTCCGTCGCGCGTCGGTCTCGCTCCTTCTGCGCCGCTCGATATAGGTCTTGAAAATTCGCGATTTTTGTCGCTATATTGCCAACTCGTCTTCAGAAAACTGAACATTTTATCCTGTTCAAAAAACGCGCGAGAGTGGTCATTTAAAAAACGTAGAATCTGGTGCTTTCCGGCGTCGGCGCCTAATTCGTCGCCCCCGGCGGTTTTTCCAAGCAGGGAATTTGCTGTCGCGCGCTTAGCTGAAACTCCGCGAGTGAAAACGGCTCTGATACCAAGTGTCACAGGATTGAATTTCCACTCGAAAATGTTGCACTAAAGGTGAGTACAAGGCGTATTTATACTCAGAAATACATAGAAAGAGGCAATAATCCAATCCTTCGCACGCTCTTCTATGATAGATAATCACTAGTGCGCATAAGCACGCAAGCCCATTGGCACATTGGATTATGGCGAGATTACGCCTTGTACACAACAGTCGGTGCTCTCGGTGCCGTATAACGTAGTTGTCAGTGCCGAAAATACAAAATAAGTGAAATAATTCTAAAGCTCCAGAAAACAGAATAGTAGTCCAATTGAGGTGAAATAAAGCGCAAACGAAAGAGGAAGATAAGGAGAATAAGATAGAATAAAAATATGGAATTCAGAAATATGTTAAACGTCGACGTACTCTTACACTACTGAACAGTTGGTCCTACCTGGTTGTTGGACCAACAAGCCAGTTGGTCCACCGGGTTGTTGGACCTAGGGTTGAGCAAAATTTCGAACGCCTGTTCGGATCGCCTCGAACATGTTCGGGGCGAACCGAACAGGCGTTTTTTTTTTTTTTTTTTTTGCCTAAATGGTTCGGGGCGAACATGTTTGGTGTTCGGCCGAATATGTTCGACGTTCGTCTCAGTCGACGGGGGCCCCCAAGTTGAACACGAACGTGTTCGTGTTCGACTTGGGGGGCTACGCGAACATTAATGTGTTCGCGTCAAATCTGGCCGCGACCACTTTTAGGTTGCGGCCGATTTGAGTTTGGGCTCATTTCGATAGCCCAAACTCAGATCGCGTTTTCAAGCATAGCCAGCTCTACCTCACCTCACACCCCTACCCCACCCTAGCAATCTTCTTGTCGAAGCCTTAGGCTTATTTAGGGTTTCTGTGTAGGAGTTTATGTAGTGTAATTTTCAAGTAGTTTATGAAGCATGTTCTTCAAGCAACTCGTGGTCTAGGCCGTACGGTACGAATCAGTCTTTTAAGAGACCCACACAAAGTTTTGTACGTGTTGGGCCGTGCTACTACCCAACGAACGCGCCCGTTTCCTCACCACGGGGTTTAGGGTTTTTGTGCCGAGCACGGTCCTATGGCTTCCGGCCGAGGTGGTTCTGTAGAACGAGGTCCAGGCGGCGCTCGGAGCGGCGCACCAGGTTCTCCACCACGACCTATGGAGGGGCGGGTAGGGGATGGACCTGGAGGAGCCGGCGCTTGCTTTGTGGGAGGGTTTCTTTCCTTAGCGGCGCCGACATCACGGCATTCTTTCCGTTACGACGGCCCTCGACCCCATCCCAAAAAGGAAAAGCGGCCGGAGTGTGGCAATGGTGAGGAGGATGAGGAGGAGGAGGGTGAGAGCGAGTCGGATGAGGACGATGAGGGGAGCGGGGATGACAGTGAGGCCGGGTGGGACCCAGAGACGCATCGCGGTGGGGAGGGGGGGGATGATGATGAAGACCACGAGATGGATGGGTTGGAGCCACAGGGGCGAGAGGAGGAGGTGGGAGAGGGTGGTGGAGAGGCGGCGACTGAGGCGGGCTCACACCATGTGCGCGAAGGGGGTGGGAGCGTGGGGGTTAAGGTGGGGAAATAGGCCACGACCATTAGGCCTCCAAGGCGGGGGAAGAGGGTGAACAAGTTGAGGGAGCGGGCGTACCCCTGCACGTTCACAAGGGAGCCCTTGGGCGAGGGGGTGATTGCACCGGAGTTCGAGACGAGGATGTGCGGAGATAACTACTACAACGGGAGCTAGACTACGGGCTAGGCACGTGTGCTCGTGTGATCTCTGCGTTCGTTAGTCCTTAGTCGTTTTCCTAGTGCACACACTGCTTGCTAGTTCACAAGGCAATTTTGGCAAGAGTTTCACAAGAGAAAGTTGACAACAATGATACAATGAAGTTGGCAAGACTAGACTACATCAGAGCTAGGATGCAAGCAGGTCGACTGCCAGCGCAGCACGGTCGACCGTGTGCCAACATGACTTGGTTGACCGTGCTCCAGCAGTGCAGAGACGCGGCTTGCCAACGCTGCAGGTCGACGGCGTGACAACAGCGCAAGTCGACGGCGCGCCAGCGTTGCTCCCGCAGTCCAGCATCGCACCCGCTTCGCATGTGCTCGTAGATGATTGGCGTGCACTGCTTCATCACCCGCACAGCGCACGCACCAAGTCCACCGCGTGCTGACGACTGCATCTGATCCGCCAGGTCGACCTCGGGATACCACCACCGAGGTCGTCCTCGCCAACCTCGCCTGGGCGACCTTCGCGTGCCTTCGCAGACCCTCGTCACCCAGGTAACATGGTCGACCGGGCAACCAGGTCGACCAGCTGCTCCTGTGCGTGCCCGTCGACCTCCCAGGTCGACGACCACTTCCAGTCGACCTCACCAGGTCGACCATCGCCTCCGGTATGTGCCGGTCGACCTCCCAAGTCGACGGCCACCTCCAGTTGGCGTGACCAAGTCGACGACTACTCCTTGGTCGACCAGCTCTAGGTCGACGTCACTCCTGGTCGACCAGAAGGTCTGGTCGACTTCCCAGGTCGACCAGAAGGGCTGGTCGACTTCCCAGGTCGACCAGAAGGGCTGGTCGACTTCCCAGGTCGACCAGCCAAAGTTGGCGCCCTCCTGAAGTCGGCGCCCATGCAGTGGCTCCCCGTGCAGGTCGACCAACCCCGTCGACCAGCTCGCCCACTGCTGCAGGTCGGCTGCACCCTACACCCGACCACGAAGTCGGCTCCGCCCAAGCGAGGACGGGGCCAACATACAACTCCCGTTGACAGGATGGAGGGTCAGAAAGTAGCAAGGGGACGGCAACGGGGGGTAGCAGGAAGCCGGGGTGGCAAGTAATGATGTTCGGACCGAAGGACGCAGACGAGAAGCGTCAGTGCAAGATTTGCACTGACAAGATCTCATGGGGGCAATCCACCACCACTCCCGGCGAGCAGCACTTCGCGAGCCACCATACAGCGCACATGCTCGTTTGGCATCACCGTTACCACACCCCGTCCATTCAGTTGCCAAGTGAGACGTTTCCTCGAGGGGGCTACAAGGGTGTGCCAGATGGCTACGTCGAAGATTACCCGCATGCCAAGACGTGGCCTCACCTCGCGACCAAGACAGGGCAGGCAGCTGGTGGGGATAAGAAGGGGGGCGGGATCGAGCGGTTCATGACATCGAAGCTGGCTTCGGGGGAGCTCCGACAGGCGATCACCAAGCTAGTGGTCACCTGCAACCTCCCCTTCCGCATCGTGGAGGCCGAGGCTGTAAGTGCCCTCTCCCATGCCTGATGTGGGTGGGATATGGGATGTGCTTTATAGTGGTTGTCCATTTATTGTGCTTGAGTGGTAGCATGTGCCTGCATTTCTCACACCCATCACCTATTCGTTGACGGCCCTCTCCCGCCAAGTCTCTACCCCCCTCCAGTTTCGGGAGTTGCTGATCCTGCTAAATCGCAACTGCGCGCAGAAGAACTTCATCCCCTCCCGATGGACGGTCTCTCGCGACACCGTGGTCTATGCGGCGGCCGCTCTCCAGTCCGCCATCGCCGAGATGATGGCAAAGGAGGGGGAGCTGGGGTGCAAGGTGTCGATTACCATAGACATATGGACGGCACCCAACAACAAAGCATGGCTGGTGGTGACCGGGCACTGGATAAACGAGGCCTTCCAGCTGCGCACGATGGTGCTTGAGTTCCGTGAGATGCTCGGGCGGCATGGGGGCAAGGAGATTGCGAAGGTGGTTGAGGAGACAGTGGTGCAGTGGAAGTTGGAGGGGCGTTATCTTGGGTTGATGTCAGACAACGCCTCCAGCAACATTGCTGCCTTCAGGCGGCTGTCGGTGTTGGTGTAAGGGCCTAATAAACTCAAGCTATTAGGACTTAATCAAACTTAAAACCTCTCCTCGGGGTCACCTCCAAGGGTCCCTGGGTGCCTGGTACAAGACCAGCCCCTATCCTCGGGTCCGAGTTTGTAGAGAGAGGGATCAAGAAGGACTTAGTCAAAACAGCAAGAGTACCTTGAACGTCGCGCAGCGTGCCGTGCAGACCGTCGATCGGATTAAGCCGAGAATTCGCTATATCGAAGCTCGCTCCAAGAGCTTTAAAATGAGCCAAGTTGCCTCGCGAAAAGTTCTGCCATTACTAAGTTATGGCTCGGAAAGCGTTTGCCTAGCGTTGGAGTGCTAGCATACTAGCGTTGACTCGGGTAGCATTCCGCCGTCGAATAGCGCAGAAACGAAATTCCAGCGAGGAAGGAATTCGCTTGAATCAATTTGACTATATTCAGGTACAAACAGAGAAGGATTAAATAGTTCTAGCTAGCAAGGACCTTGGGAATCAACCTGGGAACAACCAGGGATGATCCCAAATAATTCCAAGCAACAGAACCAACCTGGCTGGACAAAATAGCAGGTGGTAGGTTGGTAAACAACCTCTGGTTCTGTTTTTCCAACCTGGGAAAACAACAACCAGGTTCAGGTTCTAAAAACAGAACCTGTTTTGTCTTTGCCCAACCAGCCAAATGCTGGTTCCGCTGGTTTCCCCTGGCCTTGTAGCATGCAGATACAGACAAACAACATCCAACCTTCACCTAAATTGTACCCCTATAGTGCCTTCCCTGCTACACTATAGTTAACCAAACAAAACAGTACAATTCCGAGTTGGATAGAACTGAATCTGCGCAATCAACTCAACCGAACTGCAAAGCTTCCATCTTGGGTTCCTTTGCGAGCTCGTCCTTCCTGCTTGCACTGTTCATAGCGCATACAATGTTGTGCCAAAGCGCACATTGCGCGAGTACCTGCAAATGCATCAAGCGAAAAATGCGAAAGCAAACAAACACACGAACACACCATTCACACGCAAATGCATTCGCACACGCATACTCGTACAAACAGACGGCAGGATGTCGTGCAATGTGCATTTGCACCCAACAGTCGGAGGAGGGTGGTGGTATGTGCTTCTTCAGCGTGCGCATGCACTTCCGGTGAGTGTGTGTGTGAGAGTGCGTGTGGGCCGCGGGCGTGCTTAGCGGGAATTGGGGTGCGTGTCGTTCTTGTTGGGTGCAAATGCACATTGCACGACATCCTGCCGTCTGTTTGTACGAGTATGCGTGTGCGAATGCATTTGCGTGTGAATGGTGTGTTCGTGTGTTTGTTTTCTTTCGCATTTTTCGCTTGATGCATTTGCAGGTACTCGCGCAATGTGCGCTTCGGCACAACATTGTACGCGCTATGAACAATGCAAGCAGAAAGGACGAGCTCGCAAAGGAACCCAAGATGGAAGCTTTGCAGTTCGGTTGAGTTGATTGCGCAGATTCAGTTCTATCCAACTCGAAATTGTACTGTTTTGTTTGGTTAACTATAGTGTAGCAGGGAAGGCACTATAGGGGTACAATTTAGGTAAAGGTTGGATGTTGTTTGTCTGTATCTGCATGCTACAAGGCCAGGGGAAACCAGCGGAACCAGCATTTGGCTGGTTGGGCAAAGACAAAACAGGTTCTGTTTTTAGAACCTGAACCTGGTTGTTGTTTTCCCAGGTTGGAAAAACAGAACCAGAGGTTGTTTACCAACCTACCACCTGCTATTTTGTCCAGCCAGGTTGGTTCTGTTGCTTGGAATTATTTGGGATCATCCCTGGTTGTTCCTAGGTTGATTCCCAAGGTCCTTGCTAGCTAGAACTATTTAATCCTTCTCTGTTTGTACCTGAATATAGTCAAATTGATTCAAGCGAATTCCTTCCTCGCTGGAATTTCATTTCTGCGCTATTCGACGGCGGAATGCTACCCGAGTCAACGCTAGTATGCTAGCACTCCAACGCTAGGCAAACGCTGTCCGAGCTATAACTTAGTAATGGCAGAACTTTTCGCGAGGCAACTTGGCTCATTTTAAAGCTCTTGGAGCGAGCTTCGATATAGCGAATTCTCAGCTTAATCCGATCGACGGTCTGCACGGCACGCTGCGCGACGTTCAAGGTACTCTTGCTGTTTTGACTAAGTCCTTCTTGATTCCTCTCTCTACAAACTCGGACCCGAGGATAGGGGCTGGTCTTGTACCAGGCACCCAGGGACCCTTGGAGGTGACCCCGAGGAGAGGTTTTAAGTTTGATTAAGTCCTAATAGCTTGAGTTTATTAGGCCCTTACACCAACAAGCTGGTATCAGAGCTGCGTTATAGTGATCCTCGTTATAGGTAGCTATGGCGGGCAACACCTCGGCGGGAGCTGGTGAATCTTCAGCCCAAGATCGTAGCGGCAGCCAAGATTCTGGTCTTTCAGCGCCAAGGGGAGCGCGAACAAACCAGGGCTCGCTTGTCAAGGAGGTGCTGAAGAATTTCACCGTCGAGAAGTTCAATGGTGAGGGCTATGATGATTGGGCCTGGAAAATGCAATTATATTTCCGTCAGATCGGTTTGCTGAAACTAATGATTGGGGAGGAGCCTAGACCGAGTGACCCCACGCTGCAGGAAGATTGGGACGAGCGCTCCTCGGCTGGCTACTATTTGATGTCGCAGAGTTTGGAGCTGAACCAGCGTCACCACGTCATGCACCTGCTGCCGGAGGTTGAATGCGGTCCGAAGGCGTGGACCGTGTTGAAGGAGCTGCACGCCCCGACCTCCGTTGTCGCAACGTTGATGCTGGAGAGGGAGCTGTCCGCGTTGCGCCTGAGCGAGGGAGAGCCGGTGCAACCAGTCCTGGACAAGATGCGCGACCTCTACGCGAAGTTGGCGACCGCGGGAATCACCTACCCGGAGCAGACCAAGTGCTTGAAGATGCTCTCGCTGCTGCCAGAATCGTGGCTTCAATTTACGAGCGGATTGAGCCTGCCGCAGAACCAGAGCTTGTGGACGCTCGAGTGGGTGCGGACGAAGATTCTGGAGGAGGACTTCCGTCGCCGCCAACTGAGGGGTGGAGACGACGGCAGCAGCAGCTACGGGATGCAAGGGAGCCGACGTGGCAGAGGACGTGGCTTCGGTGGTGCTGGACGCGGTGCAAAGAAAGACGACGACTCCAACGACCAACAAGGAGGTACCGGTTGGGGTCGCGGTGCGAAATCTGGACGTGGGGGCAAGTCGGGTGCTGGTGGCAAAATGAAAGGGAGTTGCTGGTATTGTGAGAAGGAAGGGCACCCCTGGTTTTTGTGCTATAAGAAACCCGATGGATGGACCCCCCAGAATCGTCACCAGGATGGCGGCGCGCGGAGGAACCAGAAAAACGGCGCCAACATGGTCGCTGATTCGTCCGACAACAACCCGAAGGGCAACGGCGGTGCGGAGAAGAAGAAGGAGCGCACCGCGGGCCAATTCTTCCATGTGGGAGACAAGGTCGGAGACGCCTCTGCCAAAGTTGGAGCAGAGCTGCACCCCCTAGACTATTGGGTGTTGGACACAGGCGCTGCTTGGACGATGACGCCGCGCAAGGACCTGCTGGACGAAGTACGAGCTGCACCGATCAATGAAGTGTGCTCCGCCTCTGGACACATGTTGAAGGTGGCTGGTGCGGGACGAGCTGCATTTAAGGGAGCGGATGGCAAGCCGGTGGTGCTGCACGACGTTCTCTTCGTCCCCGACCTGAAGGCCAACCTTATCTCCCTCCGTAAGCTTGGCAAGGCTGGGGTGAACACCAACACGGATGGGGCACGCACTTATAAGGGGAAGCTGGGCAATCGGGTGCTTTGGGATCTGCACGAGAGCAAGGACGTGTACAGATCTATGTGGCAGCTGCCGGCCCTGGCGTGGCATGGTGGGGGGCAGGCTGGAGAGGGGTCTGCATCCCAGGGGGAGTGCAATGCCGTTGGAGGGGTTGGTGTGAAAGTGTCGGCCAGATCTGGGGAGACAGATTGGGCAACGGCACACCGGCGCTTAGGGCATGTGGCAATGCCTTTGCTGAAGCAGCTGGAGAAGGACGGAGCCGTTAAGGGTCTGAAGCTGAACGGACAGCCACCCGATGACAACTGTGAAATCTGTTTGCTTTCAAAGTTCACCCGTTTCCCTTTCCATAGTGTGGCTGGCAGGAGCAAGAAGCCTTTGGAGCTGGTCCACATGGACTTGGTGGGGCCGCTGCCGGTGCAAGGGCACAAGGGGGAGCGGTATTTTCTTACAATTGTGGATGACTGGAGCAGGCTGATGTGGGCGTATCCGCTGAAGCAGAAGGACCACGCCGCCTCCACGATACGGGACGATTGGCTGCCATTCGTGGAGAAGCAGGCGGAGTGTGTAGTGAAGCGGATTAGGACAGACCGGGGTGGTGAGTTCCTTGGAGCTGAAATGACGGCCTGGCTCAAGAAGCAGGGCATCCAGAGAGAGCTGACCACGGCTTATACCCCACAGTCCAATGGTGTAGCAGAACGGGCAAACCGGACCATTCTGGAGACAGCTAGGGCGCTGCTCATAGAATCTGGGCTGAGCAATTCTATGTGGCCTCATGCTGTCCGGCACGCCACTGTCGCTAGGAACAGGGTGCTCACCAAGGTTGGGGATGACTCGTGGGTGCCGTTGGAGAGGTGGCTTGGGAGGAAGCCGCCGGTGGACATGCTGAGGGTGTTCGGTTGCATGGCAGTCGCCCACGTCCCCAAGACCTACCGCAGTAAGTTGGGGGCGAGTGCAATCTGGTGTGTGCATTTGGGGCTGGCTGCTGAGAGCAAGGGATGGCTGCTGTGGGAACCATCCAAGGGTGTGTTGTTTGACAGCAGGGATGTGAAATTCATTGAGGGCATGATGTATGGGAGCTGGGAAAAACAGCCGGAGGCAAGGGTGTCCCAGCAGATGGAGCAGATCACCATGCAGCTGGACCTGACTCCTAGTGTGTGGGAGGAGGGAGAGGAGGCAGCTGCTGGAAATGGTGATGGAGAGAAGGTA